CATTCTGACGAGACTAGAACTTGGATAAATATTCATTTGCATATGGTGTTCACATCAAATTAAAAATATGTTATATCTTATTTAATCATAATTAAGTGATAAACATGCGTGTGAATAACATTTGTGTTGCATTATTTATTATTTGATTTGATATAAATATGTAAATAAAATATTCCACTGAACTTATATCTAAGTACATAATATAAGTAAAATTGCAATTTACAACAACTAGGAAAAAAATGGCACCTTTTCTTATTAAAAGAAAAGGAGGAAAACCAAAGCACCAACAGATTGGATTTTTCAGATTGAGTAGTTAGGATAATCGAATCTCATGTATTCTTCTTTCATTTTAACAACTCGAAAATAGATCTTTTCTTCATTGTCTTTAATATCCCTTATTATTTGTTAAAACGTTTTAAAAAGCAGCTTATATTTCTTTTTAAGAATTTCTTTTGTATTTAGCTTACCTCATCTTTCCATTATATAAAATTCAAATTTTTAAATAACAATTAGCAAAATAGAAAACGAAACAAAAACGGCAGATAAATTCAAAAGTAAGAAAACATTCTGCATTTCGTAATCCAAGAAAATAAACTCCACTTAAGGGAAGAAAACTCTTTTGGATAGGACTTAATTTTAGTAGTTCTTGGAATCAGTAATTTTTGGATTTCTGAAAAGACAATGTTTTTTAGGACCTAAACTGTTGTAAGGTAAAAAACATGAGGCCAGTTTGACAAATGGAACAAAAGGTTTTTTTTTTAATTTTTAAAAAACAATCTCATATTCAGCAGTGACATTGAACCTGATTAGTCGCATTCGAGCCGCATAAGACCATAAAACGATCCCTACTATAATTTTTTCTATCTCAGAGCTCAAACTCGAAACTTCTGATAAAAAATGATAGAATTTGAATCATTCTATCACAACCCTTGAACGTGGAAAAAGGTTTGCAAGAGTAGCAAAATAGGCAAAAATAAGTTTAATTCATCCAAGAATAAATGAATGTCTAAAATAATTAGGTTTTGAAGATTTTTATGTATAGGCTATAGCCAAATGCCTAATGATAAACAACTAAAAAGGCAAACTTACAAAAAGATTTTTTATGTAATTGCTAGTTGTAATCTGAAACTTTGTAGTAATCGTAACAGATAAATACAAGATTTCTCAAACCAGTATTTTTTTTAAAAGCTGCTCTTAATATACTCTATTCATTAAAGTTGGATGTAAATTTGATAAATAATAAGTATATTTTTGGGTAATTAATAACTTTCATTACCAAGTAAGAATATGTTCAGTTCAAGAAAGTAATCAAGAAAAATACGAATGAGTCTAAACATAGTCCCAAGACGTCAGTTTCACTATCTATCCTGCTATATCCAACAAGCTACTCTCCAATAGACTATTTAAAAACATGTATCCTAAAATTCTTGAGTCTATTTAATTTACGAAATGATATTTTGAAAGAATTGTATATTTAAAACAAAGTAATATTTGATGTGACACTAGAAACCCGTCAGTCATTGGATATTGGTCACGAGTTCATGCTATTTTTGTACAAATGAAATTATTATAGTATATACTATATTGAGAACTTCAAAATCATAAAATCTATTCTTCTACTGGTGAAAAATGACGAGCAACGGCCAACGAGAGTGAAATCACTATTCTTTTATCTTTATATCAATCCCGATCTGTTTTGCAGAAATAAAATTTATACATTTAAAAATTACGAAAGTATTATCAAATAAAATTTTCTTCTAATATTTGAAACGGAAAAGGGTTAGAAATGCCATTAACCTATTAGAAATGGCTCACAATTGCTTTTCTTCCATCTATTGGTTCAAATTTGCCCTTAATGTTATTTTTAGGCTTAAAAATACCCCTCTTAACAGAAAAATGACATGACATTGATGGCATTTTAATTGAACATGTGGCATTTATTTAGTGGTCCACATAGATTTTTTCTAATCCAATCCAAAAGATCTTATCCATCTTCTAATGGCCCGATCCTTTTAAAATAACCCAACGTTTTTGAAAACCCCATTGGCGATTATTTATTTCTCTTTTGTTCCAAATAGAGCTATTTCCTCTTCTTCTTCCTTCCTTGATTTTTCATCTGCTTTTTGAGTTCAGTTTTTGTATATTTCGGTTCTTCTAATGTTTTGATACCAATTCTTTTAATTTTTTGTCTTAGTTCTTTTAATTCTTTGATTTAAGTTAATTTTTTGATTTCGATTCTTTTAATTTCCTTTTTTAGTTCTAATATTATTATTTTTGGTAAGTAAATTTTTTATTTCACAAACCAAATATAACATTTACAATACTTGTTTTACTAGGAACTTGGACACCATGCCCCAAGTCCTATACTCATCAGACTCTATCATTGAGTACAAGAATGAAAACAACTAAGGCTATCCTCAATCTCTAGGGTACCACTTCATAACTTGCAACTTTCTAATTAGCTTCTTATACTGATTTCCTCGACTATGGACTTCCTGTGCCATCAATCGTAAGATGATCTCCTTTGTCCTGGACTTGCCTTGAAATATCCTTAAGTTCCTTTCCATCCATATATGGTAGACACACGCTGTCATGCATAGTCTATACATATTAGCCATTGCTGACTGTCCTTTTGCATGAACCTCTGCCCATTGAACTTCTTCAGACTATCCTTGAGCTCTCTTTTTGATTCCCTGCCATTTCAATAATTTCTCCCACATCTGCGATGTCATTTCACATTTAAAGAATAGATGCTCAGTTATTTCTGGTTCTCTAGCACACAGTGGGCATGTCAAGTCTTCAATCTGACTCCATTTAGCTATTCTATCTCTTGTTTGGAATCTCCCTTGTAAGTTTAGATACAGTATAAACACCCATCTAGGAGCCCCATAGTTCTTACATATCATTCTTCTCCAAGAGCATTTAGGGAACTCACCTCGAAGCTTCCTATACATTCTTTGAATAGAAAAGGTCCTTATCAGTATGAATTCCTTCTCTTGTAGTATCACTTCTTCCAGGTATTTTGCTGCTTTTAAGATCTTCTGTATAATCCAAGATGCTTGCTTAGGTTGACTCATCCACAGTGTGGTTCTTCTCCCATAGTAGCAATGTATCCATTTCGCCCATAGTTTATCCTTTTTGGTACAAACATTCCACAGTAGTTTGCATATAGCAGCCTTGTTCCAAGCTTGAATATCCATGATATTTAGTCCCCCTGCAACTTTTGGAATACAGATTTCATCCCACGCACTTAGTACCCTTTTTGAATTATCTACTCCTCTTGTCTATAAGAATCTTTTGCATACACTTTCGACCAATTGAATCAACTTATTTGGTAGGGTAAATATTTGAGACCAGAATGTTTGGATGGAAAAGAGAACACTCTTGATTAGCTGAAGTCTCCCTGCATAAGACAGTAGCTTTGATGTCCAGGTTATGACCCTGCCTATTATCTTATCAATTAGGGGCTTACATTGAGACAATGACAGTCTTTTTGTGCTAAGAGGTACCCCTAAGTATCTTATAGGAAGTTCTCCTTTTAAGAAACCAAGGTGGTCAAGTATGTCAAGCTGCAATTGCTTATTAACTCCACCAAAGTAAATACTACTTTTCTCCATATTTACCTCCAGTCTTGACACTCTTGAGAACATCTGAAAACAAGCATACAAAGCTTTCACATAAGCCATATCACCTCTACAAAACAGCAGAAGGTCATATGCAAAACCAAGTTGTACTATGTTCAACTTTGCACACTTTGGATGGAATTTAAACTCCTTATTCTCCTTTAGCCCCTTTAGAACTCTTGTGAAATATTCCATGGCTAGTACAAATAGGAAATGGGATATAGGATCTCCCTGTCTGAGTCCTTTCTTTATTGGGAATGGCTTCATAGGATTCCCATTAATGAGAATGGAATAGGAGACTGTAGTGACACATTTCATGACCCATTGAATGAAGATCTCTGGGAAATTCAGTTGAATTAGAATATGTTCTAGAAAGTACCACTCCACAGAATCATATGCCTTCCTCATATGAATCTTCATACAGCATCTTGGAGAGATAGACTTCATGTTATACCCTTTAACTAGTTCATGACTTAGTATAATATTATCTGATATTACCCTTTCAGGAACAAATGCAGACGGACTATCATCTACCAGATAATCTATTACCTCTTGTAGTCTGCTAGTAATGAGTTTGGAAATAATCTTATATATGGTGGTGCAGCAGGATATTGGTGTGAACTCAGCTATTCTTGATGGATTCTGCACTTTTGGTTTCAAAGTCACTGTGGTGAAATTAATTGGTTTGTAAACCTCAGTTGTTCTGAAAAACTCTTGTACTGCCTCAACTACTTCATCTCCTATGATTCCCCATAACTTCTTAAAAAATACAGCATTATATCCATCACACCTTGGGGATTTGGAATCTTATATACTTTGTAGAGCCTGGTAGATATGTTCCTTAGTCACAGGAGCTATTAGCTTCAATTGCTAATCTCTTATCAACACATTCCCCCTCTTCATTACTTCAGGTTCAATAGCTGAAATTTCCACTACTACTGATCCTAGAAGCTGTTTGTAGAATTGAATGATTTCCTGTTGCACCTCCTCTTGATTTTGGGTATGCATCCCTGTCTGAGTGAGCAACTTAGTGATTTTCTTTTGGGCATTTCTATTCTTGATGCTAGCATGAAAGAAAGCAGAATTTGAGTCACCCAGCTTTAGCCACTGGATTCTAGACTTCTGCTTGAGAATACTTTCCTCTACCATAATCCACTTCTCCAGCTTCTCTTTCAGATCTTTTTCATTGTTCTTCAATCCATCTGAATGATTAGGGATTCTCATTTCCAATTGTACTTGTTGTAGTTTCTCTCGAATAGCTTGGATCTTTTCAGGAATTCTACTATACTCCTCAACAATTAACTGTTTCAATCCTTTTTTCAGCCTCTTTAACTTCATCCAAATTCTTTGCATAGCAGGCCTCAGCATGCTAACTTCCTAGGTATCTTTGACTAGCCTTTGAAACTCCTTATGCTCAGCTTGGTTATTGAAGAACTTGAATAGTTTAGGCATAGGTTGGTGATCATGTTCAAAGTAAACACAAACAGGGGTATGATCAGAGAAGAGAGGATCTTGCAGTACCACCTCTAACTGGGTCATATTCATCATCCATCTAGCATTAACTAAAGCTCTATCTATTCTGCTATATACACGATTGTTTGTCCACGTAAATTCTATGCAAACTGTTTTAAGTTCTGTCATTCCTGTGTTCTCTAGGAAATCAGAGAAGTCTCTAGTTTCTGCCTCCATAACAGGGTTACCATTATACCTATCTTCAACACTTTGAATGACATTATAGTCACCCATAGCAATCCAAGGTCCCTGTAGCTCATTATGCAGCTATTCCAACTCTTCCCACATGGCCTTTTTATGTTCAATGGTATGCAAACCATATATTGTTGTCATCCAGAATTCTTTATGACTTTGGTGTATGATAATCTTCCCAGTGATTAGCTGCTCAGAATAACTATGAATGACAAAATCTAGTACTCCAGGATCCCACAAGATCCATATTCTCCCTCTGTTACTAGCCACATAATTATCTGTCCACTTCCAATTCCTAGAGATTTTTTGGATAGTTTTCTCTGCCATAGGTTGTTTTACGTTGTGCTCAATTATTGCTATCAACACTACTTTATTGTCTCTAAGATACTGCTTAATTTCTCTTTGTTTATAGACTTTATTCAAGCCTCTCACATTCCATGATACTATATTCATCTTGGTATAAAAGGATCATCTGTCTCCTGCATCAATTCCCACCTATTCATGCTGCTAGGCCCCAAGCTTACTTGTGCAGGAACCTGAGAACTTGATGGATCAAGGGTATTGAAACCATTGGATGTGCTCACCCCTATGTTCTTTTCCACATTTCTTGTGTCCTTTGACACAGACTTGTTCTTAACAGTTTTCCAACCTTCATCATCTACATTCATTGCTGGACTTTGTGAAGAGTTCTGTGGCTGTACATTTTCAATTCCCTTCTGCTTCTCATCTTGTACTTGAGTTTGTGGAATAACATCCTTTTGTATGCCCTGATACCTTTGTGTACCCCCTTCTGCATGCCCTATTCTCCTCCAGAATTGTTGAGGCTTCTTATTTTTCCCTTTTATTTATTTTGGCAGAGCTTCTTTCTGTGGTTCCTGGCACACATGCCCTAGTTGCAAGCATTTATTACAATACATAGGCATCCAATCATACCAAACTTCCTATTTGAATTCCCTTCCGTTTGGATCTTCCACCATGATCTGTCTTGGGAGAGGTCTAGTAACATCCATCTCAACCAAAATTCTGGCATATGATATACGTTCAACCTTAGTGGTGCAAGCATCAGCATATATATGAACACCCAATGTACTACCAATTCTACTTAGCGAGTCATACTCCCAGCAATTCAGTGGCACCTTAGGAAGTTGAATCCATAGTGGGATGGTCTTCAGTACTTCATTTGAAAAATCAAAAGCAACATTCCACATTTTAACCACAACTGGTTTGCTATTCATCGTATAAGGTCCAGAATACAACACAACATCTTTATCCTCCATAGTAACAAATTTTACCACAAAATACCCATCATTATGAAGGTATATTGAGGGTTTAGCAATAAAATTCCATTGGAATGTGACAAATCTTTCAAATGCAGCTATAGTAGGCGTTTCACCCACCACATACACTATTACAACCATTTTTCATCGCTCAGTAGCTCTCTCAACCACCTCTTTGTCTAATTTGGCCACTTTAACTCCATTCTTAATCGTAGGAGCTATGTAATGTAGATTCATACCTCTAGTAGCCATCTTGTTCTCAGCAAATAGATTCTTCCTTTTTGTCGCTGCAATTGGCTGAGAAGGTAGCTCCAATTTCCTCTTAGCTCCAAGCTCTCCCGTTCTCCTGTCACCTCCTGCCTGTTTAGGTTCTTCAATTATGACAGTTGTACTCTTTCTCTGCACATATTGTACTGAATTTGAACTTCCAGCTATTATCGGCGGGGTCTTAAGCCCTTTTGTTAGGGCTGGCCATTGTTCCATCGGTTTTTCCTTAGCTATAACCGTAATTGCCTTATCTAATTTCTCTACTGACTTCGTGATTGAACCCTTCGATGATAACTCCTTCAATTCCATACTGATTGCATGTCTCCGAGGTCGACCTCGCGGCATTTTTCGGTGAAGGTGGCGCACAATAGCATTAGCACTCTATCATACGCCGAGTAATAATACTTCAACTATTTGGATGTGCATTTATTAGTTCTAATATTAATGTTGCTTAATTGTGACAGTTGTTGTATTGGTTAAATTATGTTTAATGTATGGCTGGTTCTATTATGTTGATGAAAAATTAAGGAAGGAGGAAAGAGGAGGAAAATAAGAACCCTTGAAACAAGAGATACTGGGTCGGAATACCGAAGCTTTTGCCTATGTCATCGGGCGAAAACAAAATGACTGTCAAGTTCATCTGCTCATTGTTGCAGCCAAGAAATGATGTTTCTATAATGTATGTGAAAAATTCCATGGATTATTGCAAAAGGAGAAAGTAAAAACTGCTTACTTATGTTTCTCATTACACTAGCTTTTATATCTCCACACTGGGAAAAAGATTATTGCAGATTCAAGAGCAAAATTATCAACTGGTTTCTTGCAAGAGAAAATAAGATTAGAGTGTTAAATCTCAACAAGAGGGGGGAAGGAGAGAGAAAAAAAATCACACGGTGTGGTTTTGGTTATCTTAAAAAGATCGGATTATTAGAATGGATAGGTCGGATCTTTTGGGTTGGGTTAAAAAATTCATGTGGACCACTAAATAAATGTCACATGTTCACTTAAAATGTTTATCAATATCATGTTATTTTTTCGTTAAAAGAGAGGTATTTTTAAACTTAAAAATAACATTAAGGAAAAATTTAAATAAATAGGTAGATGTACAGCATTTTTGAGTCAATTCTATTACGTTAGGACATTTTTGGCCATTTTTCGTATTTGAAAAGATCATAGTATGAATGAACCGCTTCTTTTTTAATAGGTCTTATACCACATGAATTCAGATTACTCGAGATTCAAAGCTGGTACTAAATACCATATACGAAAAAGATATATATTATTAATTCCTTTTGTCTCACTGGAAAGGCAATAAAGATAACATGCACAACGTATCTCTACAACTGTCATCCAAAGTTTGGAAATATTATAAGCTTTTAAACGGAAACATTTTCCAACCAAATAAAAAGTCAAAAATGTTACTTTATGTTTTTGTAATCATATAAATCATAAATTAAAAGAGTGGAAAAATCGCCAATGCCTTATTCATCTCACTTGCCAAAAGACTTTTTCGCCCGTAAAATTAGTTGATGTACGCACAAATTTACTTGGACATCACAGTAATAGAAAAAACTAACCTACATATAATATTTACATCAAACTAATTAAAACCTGACATTGTGCTTCTTAAAGACATTTTTATTATATCATTATGATTAAGTAATATTCTCACGTTGATTTAACACTTAACACAAAAATCTAATGTGGTTTGGTGTATATTGCAAATTTGAATAAGCTTATTCCCTATTTATATGATGTTGCATTTATGGGTTCCAACACACGCAGTTAACTAAAATTATGATAAATTATTAAGTTAAAATATAACTGCTCCACAATAAATAACAAAACTAAAACTTACTTTACCATTATTAAATAAGAACGTTTCTCAAGGAGGGCTTATTTTTTTCTCTTTCTAAATAATATAATATAAAGTATAAACATTTGGAGTTTGACGAGATCTCTTTAATTTCTTGAGAATCTTATAAACAGATTAATTGCTTCTTAATTTTTCTGTCCGACCGTTGGACAGAAACTTCAATAGAATTCAATCAACGGAACACTGAGATCAGACAAATGTCATTATTTCCTCCCTTTAAACTTACGTAAATTGTTGACTTTGTTTACATTGTTAATTCGTATTACTAAATTTTAAATCGTGGTAATATATCTTATGTTTTTCTTTTGATTTCTGTTCGGTGTCTGGTATCTTTATTAACATCCCGATTAATCCGAACTGTGCTGTATAAGGCCCATTAAAGAAGTAATTGCTCTTTATAAAAAATAAATATTCCTAAAGCTCGACCCCGAGACCTCTGATTAAGGGCGGAGAAATTGTATCTATTCCACCAAAACCTTTGGTACGAAAAGACAATGTATCTATCTTAAGGAGAAAAGAACAAATCTACCTTCAAAAGAAAACAACAACAACAACAACAACAACAACAACAAACCCAGTTTGATCCCAACAGATGAGGTTTGGGGAGAGTAGTCTGTACGCAGACCTTACCATTACCTAATGTAGGTAGAGAGGCTGTTTCCAATAGATCCTTGGCTCAGGAAGGGCAAGAAGAAGAAGAAGAAGAGGAAAGCAAGAAAGGAAGAAAGATTGAAGAGAAAAGAAAAAGGGAGAGATAAAGGATAAATAGTACCAAATAATAGCAACAGGAAATACAATATCTGAGGCGAACAAAACCACATAACGTAATAAAAATCTAAGAATATGAAGGGACATGCATGCTACTAAGACTATCGGTGAACAACTATAAACTACCTACTAACCTTCTACCATAATCCTCGACCTCCACACTCTCCTATCAAGGGTCATGTCCTCAGTGAGCTGAAGCAGCGCCATGTCTTGCCTAATCACCTCTACCCAGTACATCTTAGACCTACCTCGACCTCTTTTCAAACTCTTAAAGGCCAACTTCTCACACCTCCTAACAGGAGCATCAATGCTTCTTCTCTTAACATGTCTGAACCATCTCTGCCTCGACTCGTATCTTGTCCTCCACGGAGGCTACTCCCACTTTGTCCCAGATAGCTTCATTCTTAATCCTATCTCTCTTGGTACACCCACACATCCATCTCAGCATCCTCATCTCTGTTACTCTCATCTTCTATACGTGGGAGTTCTTGACTGGCCAGCACTCAGCCCCATATAGATTAGCCGGTCGAACCACCACTCGATAAAACTTACCCTTAAGTCTTAACGTCACCTTCCTATCACACAAAATACCGAAAGCGAGCCTCCACTTCATCCATCCCGCTCCGATGTGATGCGCGACATCTTCGTCAATCTTCCCGTTACCCTGGATAATAGACTCGAGATACTTAAAACTCGCTCTCTTGGGGATAACTTGAGCATCAAGCTTAACCTCTACGTTTGCATCATGGGTCCCGTCACTGAACTTGCACTCCAAGTAATCTGTCTTGGTTCTACTCAGTTTGAAACCTTTAGACTCCAAGGTCTGTCTCCAAACTTCCAACCTACCTTCGGAAGAAAAGAAAAAGAAAAAAAGGTTGACTTGGCAAAACAAATAAAATACGATATATTGTGATTTACTCCGATAAATCCAGGTTGGATTAGGGCCGTGCATAATTTGGTAAATATCGAATTACCGTACCGAAACCGAAAACTTTGGTATTCGGTATGGTATTTGGTTTAAGTTTAAAAAAAATAAAAATTTAGGTATGGTATTTTAAGATGAAATACCGAAATACCGATACCGTACCGAAATATATATTATATTACACAATACACATTTTATTAATTATAATATAAATATAAGAAATCTAAACTTTTACTTTACTTTATTCTCTAAGTTAATCAATTAACTCTAAGCAAGTAACAAGATATTTCTCTAAGTTTTCTCTCTCTCGGTTGATATTTGCTAGTTTTGGACAAAACTTTTGTCAACAAACGTTTTTAGTTTTATATTTTTGAGTACTTTAATTAAGAATATTACCGTCTATGACTCTATGCACTAGTTAGTATTCAAACCGAATAAACCGAAGTTACCGAAACCGAAAGGAGAAAAACCTAACCATACCGAATTTAATTAGGACGGTATTGGTATAGCATTTTACGAAACCGAATACCGAAAATATCGAACCGAAATGTCTAA